ATTTTTTTGGAATTGAGGGAGACCTCTCTCCACTTATCAGTAATCCACCAATCAATCCTGTATAGTCTTAAAGAGTTACCTGGTGGCACCAAGAGACTGATTTGTCCAGAGCTGCACAGACAATATGTGTCAGAGAGAGTACTAAGCCAAAGTCTTTCCTGAGGTTGACTTTTTATCCACTGGATCCTGCTGCCTCAATATGCAGGATGTTTTGTTTTGTTTTTGAAATAAATTATAGCTTTTTAGGACATTGAGGCATGTAGGCTGGCTTGATTAGTCATTGTGAACAATCACTTGACAATAGCTGTTTGAGTTCCTATTGTGTGTAGAATTCGTGTATATAATGGGTGCTTCATAGTTTAGGCTCCAATTGGGAAGACGAAACAGACAAAAATGAAAATTCCTTAAGAATGTGCACAAAAAAAGTGGGATAGGGTTTCATTGCAGGTTCTCCTAGCTCATGCCCAGGTGGAGGTCACGCATCTGCCTCGATGCCTGGGAGCTAAGGGAAGCCAATATGGCTTCCAGCCCTGCTCTCTTCCGTTGCTGCAGTTTTCCTACAATCTCACATGTGGCTCTGCCCCACAGAGGTGCTCACTCAAAACCACAAGGGCATCAGCAGAGAGAGAGTTAGTTTGAACTAGGATGGATGAAAGCAAGCCAGGAAAACCTGAGTTTGAATTCTGCCTCTGATACATACTCTCACCACCACCATCACTCTCCACTTAGAAAGTGAGCCCTTCAAGGCTTGCAAAATACTTCACGCCGGTTACCTCACTAGCCCCTTGGTGGGTGGGAGTTGCTGTTCTCTCCTAGCAACCATTGATAATATTGCTTGAAGGACGGGCAAAGAGTTGTCCATATGCTGCATCTCATTTACATAGCACTCACCTCACCATGACCATGTGAGAGGTAAGAAGTGAGATTATTATTATTATCATCATCATTTTTGTTATTACCATTTTACAAAGGAGGACACTGAGGAACTTTGAAGCTAAATGACTCCAGCATGAGTCACCAAACTAGTAACTGGCAGAGGCAAGGTTCAACCTCAGGCATTGACTCCAGGTTCACCATTCCCTCCTGCATGTCCTGCTGCATTGTTCCTGGCCTTGACTCATTAGAAGGCTCCATTGAGGTTGTATAGGTTTTTGTTATTCCTCGGTTATGCGTGTATAACCAAGCCAATTGCCCAAGAGGACACTGAATGTGGAGTCAGGGGACCTAGATCCAAATCTCAGCTCTGCTTCATACCATGTGAGTGACCTTGGATGGGTCACTTACTTTTCTTTGGCCTGTCAAATAAGGAGGTTGGGCTAGATGATCTCCAATTTCTTTCAGCTTTCTGTCTGTGATTGGTCCCACGAGGCATCTATGGACAGGCCAGACTTCCTGTTTTATTTACAACCTTTGCTTCCTTCATTATCCCTTGGCTGACAAGAGCTTTACTCCTGCCATGTCCCTTAAGACTGCTCACTCTCCAGCTTTCTCTGCTGACCCTTCCCTATGACCTTCCTAATGACAACATTTGTTTATGATTCTGACTTAATCCCTGAATTGTGCTTACTGGCCAACGTCAGTGCCAACACCAACACCAATGGCTTTGACCATTAAGGAGACCACAAGGGATCCATAAGAGAAGCAGGACACATTTGTAGCCTACTATTCTCTACTTAAAACGTAGGTAGGACGTAGTAATCAAACTTGTGATTTTACAGAATTTTCTGTCTGTACCAATCACGTTTAGATGACAAAAAAATTAGATTAAATATTCTATAAGATTATGTAGGAAGAAGACCTCTGGGCTCTGGGCATTCTCTCTATGCCTAGCACACCCTCCCTCTTCTACATCGACTATTGACCTTCTGGGCTTCCTTTAAGTCCCAGTTAACATCTCACCTTCTACAAGAAGCCTTCCCCAGCCCTCCTAACTCCAGGGCCTTCCCTCTGTTTACCATTTTCCATTTATCCTGCAAGTAGCTTGCTTTCTATATATTTGTTGGCATGTTGTCTTCCCCATTAGTTTGTAAGCTACTTGAGGGCAGGGACTATCTTTTGTTTCTTTTTGTATCTCTGGAGCTTAGCATAGTGCCTGACACATAGTAGGTGCTTAACAAAAGTTTATTGGTTGATTATACATGGTTATAGCCTAATGAAACGATTATTTTAGACATCATGCTTTTCTTTTTTATACTTTCGTTTCCTTTTCTTCCTTCCCCCTCACCCACCTTCCATTATGTTCCTATATTTATGTTTAGTGTAGTGGAAAGAGTATGAGGCTTGAATCTGGGAACAAGCCTCCTTCATATCCCATCTCTCATCATTCTTATTTAATCTCTCTGAAAAAATCAATTTTTTCATCTATAAAATGAGGGGGATAATAATACTTTTAGAGATGGCATAATATAGTAGGTAAAGAGCTGACCTTGGAGTTAGAAAAAGTTGGGGTCAAGTTCTCCCTTCTCGTATACACTGGCTACATGACCCCTGAACAGTTATTTAACCCCTCCGTGCCCCAGGACAATTCTCATAGACTCTAAGATGATGATCCGACTTGCTAGAGTCAGTTGGTGGTAAGATGCATAGAACAGTGGGCCAGAAAGTCCTGAATTCTAATCCTGCCTCAAATACTTTTTATAGTGCTGGATGAACTTGGACAAGTCAGTTAATCTCTCTAAGCCTCAGTTTCCTTGTCTGTAAAAGGGGGATGATAATAGGATCTACTTCCCAAGGTTGTTGGGAGGGTAGAATGAAATATGCATAGTGTTCTATAAACCTTAAAGCACTTTATAAATGCTAGCTATAAGTATATGGAACATGTGGGTCTTTTTCCTCTTTATTTGATCTCTTTGGGGTATATGCAGAGGGATCATCCTTAAAGTCTCCCTCCCTGCTTGGCTAGATGTACAGAGTGAATCTACTCATATTAGAGCCCAATGTCATCTGGAAACCATGATGAGGCATCCATCAGAGAAGGACCTCAGAGGAGGACAGGAACCCTGGATGATAATTCTGATTTTGCTTAGAAGACACAAACCCTTTGGCCTGACTCTGCCCTGAGGCTCTTCCACTACTAAAATTATTCCATTAGGAGCTGTGAGTGAGAGATTAGATAATTACTCAGAGATTGCTTCCTTCTTAGAAAGGTTTCCCAGTGGAAGTAAATTTAAATCACCTGATTGACAAAGATCGTAGAGTCATCGAATTAGTAATGAAAGATACCCTACTTCAGCCCCCTCATTTTACAAATGGGAAACCGAGGCACAGAGACATTACGTGACTAGTTTAAGGTTGAAGAGGTAGCATGCAGCAGAGATGAGAAAGAATCCAACCCAGATCCTCTGAGTCCAAACCCAGGGCTCTTTCCATAACATCATATTGTTCCTACAAGTGACAAAGAATGTTACCCACTCTCCCAACAAAGAAATGATGGCTTCAACATTCAGAAGAGACATACATTTTTAGACATGGCCAATGAAGGAATTTGTTTTTCTTGGCTATGCATATTTGTTACAAGAATTTGGGTTTTTTTTTTCTTTCTTTTCAGGGAGGCATAGAAGTAGGGAGCAACAGAGAAACAAGACGGGCTAATTGAAAAAAAGTAAAATTTAAAAGAAAGAATAGAAATGGAAAAACACAAGCTGGAAAAAATCAAATTATACAAAAATACAAACCAGCTGTTCCCACTGGAAAACATGACTTGCTGGGGTCATTCTCGGTGAAAATGCAAGCTCTCCATGACGGGAGAGCTGTATTCAATGAATTTGTATCCCCGGTGCCTGGCACAAAAGAGCCACCAAGTAAATGCTGGAACATTCATTTTCTAGTTGCAGTCTTGGTGTGAGCGCTTGGTAAGCGTGACCTAAAGCCTTATTGACTAACAGGAAAGAAGGATCGGATCTGGCCCCTTGTCTCCGTTGGGATAAGGAACTTTCAGATTGGGATGCACTTGTCCTGAAAAGGAAGATCATCATGGTCACCTTCTTTGCATCTCCTGATCTTAGAGAGGTGCCTGGAGGCACTTGGCCAGGGGCACACAACCAGTTTGTGTCTGAGGTGGGCTCTGAGCCCAGGTGTTCCTGCCTCCTTGGCTGGTTTTGTCTCCCATACCATTTGGTCTGTTTCTGACGGCAAGAAGCAGTCCAAACAGGAGTTACTTTCCTGTAGCGTTTATGCCTTTCACTTTAATTCAACCAGCATCTATTAAGCACCAATTAGGTACATGGTCCTCACTATGCTTGCTTCTCTGAATTCAGCACTGCATCTCCACTTGTCCTGAATATACTCCCTCCTCATCTCTGCCTCTGGGAATCCCTAACTTGCTTTTAAGGTCAATTCTTGTGCCACCTCCAACAGGGAACCTTCCCTGATCCCTCCTGGCTATTTGGGCTCTCACAACCTCAAATTATTTTGTGCTTACTTCTTCGAATAAAAGTTGTATCTCTTCACTTTCTCCCCCCACCCTCCCACCCCAAGAAAATGTAAAGTCTCTGAGGACAGCATTTTTGTTTATTCTATCAGTCCCCAGCACCCAGCATCTTGCCTTGCACAAAGTAGGTGCCTCATAATGTATATCAGATTATGGAAATATAAGGGAAAAGAGAGGCCAAAGATGGCATGTAATACAAGGGGCTTGGATTGAACCATCTCAATTATCTTCTAACTCGAGAATTTAGGATCCTATAAACCAGAACCTTGCAGGTGTTGAACATAGGTGAGCATGTGAATGGAACTGCACTTGACAGAAATGGGGATTTTGAAAGAGAGAGTTGTTCAGGACAGGAATTGATTCATTTGGCTTGAAATACCCAAATGGAGATATGCTGAAAGAAACTTGTAATATGGAATTAGAGATCCTATGAGATTTATTTATCCTATTATGCTAATATTTACATATATAACATATGGAGATTATGAATTAAATTTTTATATCATTGAATTTGCTTGCAAATTGAACATAATCCAATCGCAATCTAATTAAAGGTTATTTTCTGTTTCAGCAATTGTTCAACTGTCAAGCTCTCCGCAAACTGAGTATCCCAGATAATGACCTTTCGAATCTACCAACCACCATTGCTAGCTTAGTTAATCTCAAAGAACTTGACATCAGTAAAAATGGTAAGGGTCTTATTTCTAAATAGCTTATTGGTTTTTTGTAATTAAATGTTTTATTTTCTTTTTTTATAAGAATTGCCTTACCAGGATCCTCCCAAGCTGGTGGAGTGCTATTCTTTGTCCTTGTATCCCAAGCACCTAACAGTGCCCAGCACAAAGAAGTACTGTGTGAATGCTTGTTAATTGATTGGTTGATTGGAAATATTTTCCATTTTTACATCCAATATTTTCATGCATCACTTATAAACTAAAATGATCATGACTAGACAAAGTCATGCAAAAGGTATAAGTTTTGCTCCTTTAAACACTTGTCCTAGGGCTTTGAATGGTGGCTACTAGGAGTGAGCATCCTTCGGCAACTTTTCCTTCTACATGCAGGATCATAGATGTGGAGCTGCAAGGTGCCTGAGAGCAAATCTAGTCCAACTTGCTTATTTTACAAATGAGGAAACTGAGGCTCAGAGGGTGGCTTAATGTGTCCAAGGTCACAAAAATAGCTAGGTGGTGCAATGGATAGCCGAGATTAGAGTCAGGAAGACTCCTGCTCTTGAATTCAAATCTGGTCTCAGAGAGATACTACCTGTGTGACCCTGGCCAAGTCACTTAACCCTATTTGCCTCAGTTTCCTCATCTGTAAAATGAGCTGGAGAAGGAAATGGCAAACCACTCCAGTGTCTCTGCCAAGAAAACCCCAAATGGGGTCACAAAGAGTTAGAAGCAACAGAAAAATAACCTAACAATAACAAAAACCAAAGTAGAAGCCCCAAAGGCGGAATCTGAATCCAGGTGCTGTGGCTCCATAGCCAGGACTCTTTGAAGAAGCACTTGGGCCATCTTACACCTGACTACTTATAGTCCCAAGAGACTGGGGACTGTGTCTCTGTGGAGCGTCCTCCCATCGCTCTTGGCTTTTCCCTTGGTGGACACACAGATCAAATCGAACCTCTCTTCCTCATGTCAGCCTCCCCAGTACTGGACAGCAGCTCTCACTCCCTGATGGTACTCAATATCCCCAGCTCCCTCAACCACTAGAATAGAAAGTAGAGCAGAGTGAGGATGAGGCTCAGAGTCAGGAAGACCTGAGTTTGAATCTCAGTCATGTGACTTGGGCAAATCATTCCAACTTTCTGAGCCTCAGTTTCCTTATCTATAAAATGGGGGTGGGGGTGAGGTAAGGCTGGTCCCAATGACCTCCAAGGTCCCTACTAGTTCTAAATTTTTGATTTGATAACCTGGACTCTAAGCCCTTCCCTGTTCTGGTTGTCCTGTTCCAGACGCATCAGGTTATCTGTATCAAGCCTAAAATGTGGTCCTTAGAATTGAACCACAGACCAGCCGTGGTCTGGCCAGGCAAGAGCAAGAGAGGCCTGCTTATTCCTCACAGTTATACGTCTTTTAATTTAGTCCAGGGCCATACATAGCTAATAAATCTCAGAGGATAAATTCAAATCCAGGTCTTTCCTAACTCCAAACCTAGTATTCTTTTGACACTATGCCACACTCCCTTAAGGCATCAATAGCATTAGATCCATAACTAGGGTGGGACAACCAGAGCTTTTCCTGTGGGCATCAACATTTAGAAGGAGCTGACAATACTCAAACATTTTTTGTGTAGAAAGAACTGAATTTGACATTCAGCCAGCAGAAATAATCAGCTAGAATAGGCATCTATCTTCTCAATGGTATTACCTCCCTACCTCCTGCCAAATAGAGTAGCATCACGATGTCCTAAGGTTTCTTCCCTTTCAACCAAATTTTTCTTTAAAAGTTGGTTTGAGGACCCATTTGGAAAAGATTCCCCCAGACATGAAAAATGTCACTTATAATGCTGGTAAGATTGGGAGTAGGTAGGAGACCCTAAGGAGCCCAAACCATATGAAATAACAGTCCTACCTGTAAGACTTGTCACCCAGAAAGCGTGTTCATCTGATAGCAATGAATAAAGTCTTGAATAAAATGATAGAAGAAAATTGAGAAAGGAAATGTCTTTCTCATCTGGGCAGATCAGGAAAGGATTCTTGAAAGAGGTAGAAGCTGAATTGTGCCTTAAGTAACAGACAATAATGATGATGATGATGATGATAAGCAATAACATTTATATAGCACTTGGAGGTGGGCAGGACCTTTTCCAGATACTATCCCATGAGGTCCTCAGAAGATTCCTAGGAAACAAGCACTGTTAGTAACCCAATTTTGCAGATGATGAGACTAAGGCTTGATGAGGTCAAGGGGCCTACCCAGGTGCCCAGAGCATTAAGGCTTCTAGGGAGGGCTAGAACTGAGTTTTTCTTGAGTCCAGCCCCCACTTCAGTTTCAACTTCTCCACATGAGGAGGGGTACCAGAGTTAGGAACCCAGAAAAAGGCTGGAGACCAACAGGGAGACAAAATAATAACTTGGAAGCCAGCTTAAGGTTAAAGATCCCTGCATTTTATGTTGTAAGTCGTTGGAAAGCCATGAAGGTTCTCTGAGAGGGGGCATGACATCATTGGGCTTGGTCATTAGGGAGATGCCAATTAGAAGAGCTAACATTTGCATAACTCTTCAAGGTTTGCAGAGCTCTTTACAAATCTGATCTCATTTTTTCCTCACAATGATCTTGGGAGGTAGGTATAATTATTATGCCCATTTTGCAGATGAGGAAACTGAGGCAGACAAAGGTTAAATGACTTGCCCCAAGAAACTACTACTTAGGGGATTATTACAAAAGTCTAGGAAAAGAATGATAAGGCCCTGACCAAGAAATGCATATGTGGGGGGCAGAGGTGGGGCAACGCGAATGAACCCCAAATAACTCATCACTTCTATTCCTCACGGTATATTGGGGAGGGGAGGTAGATAAACACAGCTCCTAGTCTAAAAACTAAAGCGTGTTCAGGCCCATCCCTGTGATTCTCATAGTTGTGAAGCATCTTGTCACTAAGGTTAATGCAGAATGTGAGTGAACGGATTTTCTAACACTTGAAATCCCATGGGCATCATCCAACATCCTTGCGATCGTCAGTTAGAAATTCAGCCGGGCTTACTGTTGGGTTCTAAAAAGTACCAGGAGAAAGACGTCCAAGCTACAAGGAGAAGCCTTGGAACAGTCTCTGCCTTCCGGAGCTCACAGTCTGATTGTTGTCCCTCGCCCTCTCGCCAAGAATGAAGGATGGCCAACAACAGTTCGACGGGGACCCAAGAGGCATCACTGTGCCGGGGTCAGTGCACAGCATGCCCGACCGTGGCCGACCAGACCCACTTAAGTTTCCCATGATGTGGTCAAAGCTGCTATGCTCTGGGAGTGAAGTAGAATTGCAATAGCTCAAAAGAAACACAAGGAGCATCCATGTAGATGCATCTCTGTCCCAAATGTTCACGTGGACTATCTGTGCCCAACCTGTGGCAGCTCAGGCCTATTGGTGCTGGCTATGTTGGCTATACTGGCATGAATTTACCTGGGAACCTGGTGATTCTCTTCTGAATAGTTTGAAATTCACTGACTCACACATGGCCTTGTGGAACATAATCTCATTCATGAGGTGAGAGGTAGTCTACCTGATGCCAACTATTTGGCCATTCTGTTCTGCCTTCTTTTATGTCAAAGCAATTGATGGATAAAGGTCCTAGTATACCAGGGACCCCGAAACTGGAAATGCTAGCTGAGAGCTAGAGACAACTCCTGAAATTTTATAGATGACATTGGACCTAGCGAACCAAGCCTTACCAGGATTTCAGGCAGGTTCTCTGTATTTGTCACTTCAGGAATTACAGGAGTGGGGCCCAAAACCCTCATCTGAAAGGCCATCCTTGATCTACAGCCAGAAGGGACCTTTGCCATCACCTAGTCCTACATCCCCATTTCACATAGAAGGAAATCAAGGGCCAGAGAAACTGGGACTTGACCAGAGTCCCACAAGTGGGACAAGGCAGACTGACGGCAACAGCTCCCCTTAACTTCCCTGCTCTGCTGTCTGCTGCTCATTAAGAAAAAAATAGGAACTTAGTCATGCTGCTTTTAACAGATTTCAGTCTCACGGAGATTGTCTGTGCACCAGTAAGATGTAGAAAAAGAAATTACAGCTCCTCCTTCATAGTGAAAAAAAAGACCTCCCCTGTGGGGCTTTTGGAAATAATGCGAAGAAGAAAAAGGAGCACCAAAAAACAGATTCACATTGACTAGGATGGCACAATGGGAAAATTAAATGGGAAGAAATGGATTGGCAAAGAGAGCTGATGAACACAGAGAGGGCATGGAGGAAACACTGTGGCATTTTATCCAGCGAAAATCATTTGTATAAGTGGAAATAGTGGCTAAGCAAATTTAACTGGCAATATTAGCATCATCAATTTAGAGTTGGAAAAGAATTGAGAGGTCTAAATGACCAACTCCCTCATTTTACAGATATGAAAACTGAGGCCCCAAAAGGCAAAAATGACCTGCCCAAAGTCACACAAGTAGTCATCGGAAGAGAGGGGAAAGTATAGTCCTCAGACTACTAATTTAATACTCTTTTCACTTCAGCATTTACAAATAAATTTATGATTATATTTAAATTAAAAATGAAAATCTCTCAATTCTAATCTTCTTCCTATGAATCCATTTCCCAGAGTTGTAAGAGCCATGGATTTAGAGTCAAAGGGCCTAAATACAAATACCAGCTCTGCCATTGCTACCTAATGACCTTGGGCAAAACTCTTTAGCGGGTCTGCCCCTCGCCTTTTTTTTTTTTTAGTCTCTGAAATGAAAGGGTTGGACCACATGACCTCTAAGCCTCTTTCCATCTCTAGAGCTTGGACCGTGTGATGCCCTGCAGGAAGATATATCTATTTCTCAACACTTTGCAGTCTCCAGATAAAACAGATCCACCTGTTTGTAAAGGTGACAGAAGCTTTCACTGAAGTGCGTTGATTTAAATACAAGAAAGTAAAATAATGAATGGTGAATTTTAATTGGGCAATGACTCAATTTCAAGTCTAGTTTTGAATGTGTCATAGAGAGCGTGACACCATAGTCTATTGACA